CTGTACAACCTCATATCATCACAGACATGAAACTAAGTTATTACTTCAGAAAAGCTAGTTTGAATACCGGTTGATCATTATTAAAAAGGTATAAAGATAACCACAATTATCCGCCCGTGCTAATTCAGCACAAATTACATTAAAAGCATCACGGTGTTACCATCGGAGTTTACCAAAAGGAGTTTTTCTAATATAAATATTTAGATGAATCCTAGTTCTTACCTGCACTTTGTGATTTTCTACGAGGAATTCTCTTATTTTCTCCACCTACAAGTACAGAATACTCTCCCCTATATTCTCCCTATATGAAATAAAAACTAAGAAAATTATGCATATTCCCATATATATAAACTGCTTTCGTGTCAAATGTTTTTTGAAATCCAATCAAAGCCATTTTTTAAAATCACGCATAAATATGATGCATCTCCAATTATTGGCATGTTCTAAATAAATTAATTTGATGATTAATATTATAGATATATTTGTGTATTTGATTATTAATAATATAAAATAAAAGAACCATATTATATTGAATGAATACCATGTAAATAATATTTACTAATATTAATATTTATTTAGCATTAAAATAATAAATCAACTATGATATTTTTGCTGCTACGTATATTAAATTGATGTATTCTAAATAATTATATAATTGATCATTAATATTATAGACTAAAACATTATAATTAGGATATATTTGGGTATTTGATTATTAATCATATAAAATAAAATGAACATATTATATTGAATAAATATTTAATTTAATTCATTTTAATAATGTCTTCAAATTGCTAATATCGTTTTATTTACCATTAAATCAATATATTAAAAATATATTTGCTGCTATATTGAATTATTATTAACGTCATTTAAATAAATTATATATTTGATTATTAGTACTATATATATAATACTATATATCCCTATAATAACACAGGGATACATATTTGTGCACTTGATTAATAATTATGTAAAATAAAAAGACCATTTTATATTGAAGAAATATTATGTTAGTATTTATTATTATTTATGCATTCAAATGACTAAAAATTTTTATTTACCATTAAATTCATTTTTGCTGCTATAAAGTATTAACATGTTCTAAATAAATAAATAATATTTATATTATACATTTAGTCATTTAGCAGATGCTTTTATCCAAAGCGACTTACAAATGAGGACTTTATATTTATTATTAAATTAAAATTAATTTATTTTTAAAATTAATTATTAATAAATTACAATTAATTATATTTAATTACATTTATTTTTATAAATTATATATTTGATCATTAACATTATAGAATAAAATATTATGTAATTATGATATTTATGTATTTAATGATTCATGTTATAGAATACAAGGATATATTAATATTTCTTCAATAATAATGTATTTCAATATTTCTCTAATAATATTTTTTAATTACTAATATTAATATTTAGTTTTTCACCGAATTAGTATATTAAATAAGATGTTTTGCAGCTATAGATTTGATCAATAATATCATATAATAAAATAAATAGGATGTTTGTGTATTTGATTATTAATACGGTAGAATAAAAGGTCCATATTATACTGAATTAATAATATATTTTTTCATAACACACGACTTGTAGGCTTCTGAATCTCCACATGACGTCTCTGTGGACTGATGTAGGAATCGGTCATACTTTAGCTGATATATTGATATGATATAATCTGGAGGAAGTATGATCTTCAAACAAACACATAGCGTTCACTTCCAGAATAAAAAAACCCTGATGATTTACTCTCCTCTATATCATCCGAGATGTTCACGTCTTTCTGTCTTCAGTCGCAAAGAAATGAAGGTTTTTGAGGAAAACATTCCAGGATTGTTCTCCATATAATGGACTTCAATGGAGATCATTGGGTTGAAGGACCAAAGTGCAGCTTCAAAGAGCTCGACACGATCCCAGCCGAGGAATAAGAGTCTTATCTAGAGAAACCATCGCTCATACTTTTTAGCCACAGATGCTGGTCTTGCACTAGCTGGACTTCACGCATGATGGAATCACGTTGGAAAGGTCACGCGTGAGTCACGTAGGCGGGAAAAACTGACCCACGCTGCGTCCAAAATCGCATACCTCCCTACTATATAGTAGGCGAAAAACAGTATGGGAGGCGAGTAGTATGTCTGAATTCCAGTGGTGGACAGTAACGGAGAATTATGAATTATTCAACTATTATAGATATTATAAAAAAATAAATAAAATAAACCAAAATGTTTTTACGTAAATAAATACCAAATTCCAAACTTCAAACTCTTTCCATTAATCTCGCCTTTTTTTTTAAATACTTAAACAATTCTTCTTTTTTCTTGGCTTTTGCAACTGTCTTATCTAGAGAAACCATCGCTCATTTACTAAAAAATAAACATTTATATTAAACATTTATATACTTTTTAGCCACAGATGCTGGTCTTGCACTAGCTGGACTTCACGCATGACGGAATCACGTTGGAAAGGTCACGCGTGAGTCACGTAGGCGGGAAAAACTGACCCACGCTGCGTCCAAAATCGCATACCTCCCTACTATATAGTAGGCGAAAAACAGTATGGGAGGCGAGTAGTATGTCTGAATTCCAGTGGTGGACAGTAACGGAGAATTATGAATTATTCAACTATTATAGATATTATAAAAAAATAAATAAAATAAACCAAAATGTTTTTACGTAAATAAATACCAAATTCCAAACTTCAAACTCTTTCCATTAATCTCGCCTTTTTTTTAAAATACTTAAACAATTCTTCTTTTTTCTTGGCTTTTGCAACTTGTAATTATTGCATATCGCCACCTACTGTACAGGAGTGTGTAACGGGACTTGGCAGATACTTTATTTCCATCCCTTGTTCTCCAAGAATATCTTCAATTTTATTTTCTTCTTCCATCTCCTGCCTGTATTCATGGTATTTATTGCATCTAAACAAGACATGTTCTACATCTTCCTTGGTTTGACATCTTGTACATAATCCATTACTCTTCCCTATTGTCTGCAATTTATCATTCAATCCAGTATGACCTAATCTCAGCCTTCAGTATACTACTTCTTCTCGCCATGTTTGCCATATTTATCCTTTTTCCTCCTACTTTTGCTTGGTTTATATGATGATGTTTAGCTTTAGACTTGCCATATTTGCATTATTTCATATTTAATCTTGGCTTTAATCTCTCCTTTTCCCATTATTAATTTCTACTTGCTCTTTTTCCAATGCTTCTTTTGCTATCTTATTGGCTTTTTCATTACCTTTGATACCAATATATGCTGGAACCCAACAAAACTGAACTTCTGTTCCTATAGATTTCTAATATTTAATAGTATATGTCTAGTCTCAATGATTAAATTGTCTCGAACTGAAATACTGCTTTCTAAACTTTGTAAGGCTGCCATTGAGTCTGTATACACTGTAAAAAATGACCGTGAATTTAACGGTAAAAGACTGTAAAAATGCTACAGTAAAAACCTGTTAAATGGTTAACGGTAAATTCCCCTACTATATACGGTGAAAAACTGTATTGGACATCTGCTGTATTATTTATATTCCAACAAAAACCTTTGGATTTTTAATGATATTCCCAACAATCATTTAATATTGAAGCAGCTGGACTGCTATTACTGCTTATTAGTCTAACCCTGAATATGTTAATGAATCTTAGATTTAGTGGCACACAAACACAAGTCACGTGACCGCACGGTGTATTTTCGTATATGAATATTAATATTATACTATAAAATTACTATATTTTATTGAATAAATTTTACATTTTTAAATAATATTAATGTTTTATGGACCAATAAATGTATATATTGAATAGGGTAATTTTTTCGATGTGTTATATAAATACATTTTATATTTGATCATTAAATTCATAGAATAAACATTACATACAGTTACTAAATTCCAAATTTGATTATTGATATTATAGAATAAAATGTAGAAATATGATGTATTTGTGTAGTTGATAATTAAAAAGGTCCATATTACATTTAATAAATGTTATGATAATGCATTCATATAACTAATATTAAAATTTTATTACCCTAAATGAATACATTGAATATTATTATATGATTGCGTCTATATTCATTTTTTGAAGTGTTATTAAATATTAACAACATAAAATATTAATTAAAGCTACTGCAGGGCTAAACACAAATTATTTCAGTCCAAATTGTTTTGCTGTATTATTTATATTCCAACAAAAACCTTTGGATTTTTTAATGATATTCCCAACAATCATTTAATATTGATGCAGCTGGACTGCTATTACTGCTTATTAGTCTAACCCAATATGTTAATGAATCTTAGATTTAGTGGCACACAAACACAAGTCACGTGACCGCACGGAGTCTCACCTATTATGTGTATTTTTGTATATGAATATTAATATTATACTATAAAATGACTCTATTTTATTGAATAAATTTTACATTTTTAAATAATATTTATGTTTTATGGACCAATAAATGTATATATTGAATAGGGTAATTTTATCGATGTGTTATATAAATACATTTTATATTTGATCATTTAATTCATAGAATAAACATTACATACAGTTACTAAATTCCAAATTTGATTATTGATATTATAGAATAAAATGTATAAATAAGATGTATTTGTGTAGTTGAGAATTAAAAAGGGCTATATTACATTTAATAAATGTTATGATAATGCATTCATATAACTAATATTACAATTTTATTACCCTAAATGAATACATTGAATATTATTATATGATTGCGTCTATATTCATTTTTTGAAGTGTTATTAAATATTAACAACATAAAATATTAATATTTAATCATTAATATTATTTATATGAATGTGTTATTTATTGCTATATCTATCGATCTGCGGCGATGGACGTCGAAAGAACGCTAATGAGCCAAGCCCCACTGGCAGCCAATCAAAACACGGCATTCAAAAACGCCACCTATCAGCCACTAGCAGAGCGCTTCCTAATTAATTATTCATGACATGCCAATGTTGTTCCAGCTCACGCTGGCTGGCGGAGAAAAACAAGCTGCGAACGAGTGAAGATCGTCACCATGGCGACAGCTATTTATCTCGAACATTATCTCGATAGTGAGTATACTTCATTTACGCTGGATTTAACGTTATTTTAAGCGGGATGAAGGCGTTTTGAATGCTCCAGTTTGAGGATGTTTTGGTGGCTAATGTCAGATTAGCATTAGCACTGCAGTTTACTAGCCAACAGGTTGATTAGCTTCATTTCGACCGCATGAAACTGCGTAGATCTCATTTATTCTTTCGTTTTGTTGTTTAGGTCATTATATATACTTCTACTGTAAAGCCACAGCAAGTTGTAAATACAGGACAGAAAGTAGTTAGCCAGCATGCTAACAACAACAACATGCTAAGTCAACAAACTCGTGTTGTTTTTATGTCTTCAGTGAGATTTCATGTGTGTGTATGAAATTAATGATAAAAACAGACAGGTGTCTGTGTGTTTTCTGCTCTAAAATAATTAGAGGACGGTAACAGACTCAATCCAGAACTTTCCTCATGCAAGTAAACAGTGTATTAAACCATGAATGTGTTTTTTTATGACCCTAGGCATTGAAAACCTGCCCTGTGAGCTCCAGAGAAACTTCACACTCATGAGGGAACTCGACAACAGAGCGGAGGGTGCGTCTCAAATCATAGTGTGCTGTCTACCTAGGGAGCATTTCTGGCCATCATTGAAACATATTCAATACGAGTGACCAAGAACACAGCATGGGTGGATCTGCATTTACAGCTCACTGATGAATATTTGACTGTTTTATTTCCTCTCCTTGCAGAAAAGAAATGTGAAATCGATAAGCTTGCAGAAGAATACATTAAAAACGTCCGGAATCTGGCTCCGGATCAGAGAGTGGAGCACCTGCAAAAGATCCAGAACGGATTCAGCAAATGCAAAGAATACAGCGACGACAAAGTGCAGCTCGCCATGCAGACGTACGAAATGGTCAGTAATCGGTTAGCTATTTTTAGAAGTGTGTGACTTTAGTCAAACCTGGAAATATCAAGGAATTTTTAATTTGTGTTTTTCTATTGGAATATGTTTCTAATCTATTTTATTGTCAAAAATCTTTTTTTTTTCTTACTTGTAGTAAAAAGAATTTTTTGTATTTTATATTCAGCTCTAAAATATTAATTGAGTAGAATTTTTTGTATCGGTTTTTTATTGTAAATATGATATTCCATATTTTATACTCTGCTCTGAAAAATGTAATTGCGTAGAAATTGTTTTATTGTCAAAAATCTTTTTTTTTCTTACTTGTAGTAAAAATAATTTTTTTGTATTTTATATTCAGCTCTAAAATATTAATTGAGTAGAATTTTTTTGTATCTGTTTTTTATTGTAAATATAATATTCCATATTTTATACTCGGCTCTGAAAAATTTAATTGCGTAGAAATTGTTTTATTGTCAAAAATCAAATTGTATTATAGTAAATCTAAGTTTCTGTATTTTATACTCGGCTCTAAAAAACTGTTTTATTGTCAAACATCATAGAATTTTTATTTGTAGTAAATATAATTTTATATATGTTATACTCAGCTCTGAAATATTTAATTGCGTAGAAATTGTTTTATTGTCAACAATCACAGAATTTTTTTTTTTTAGTAAATATAATTTTCTTTATTTTATACTTGGCTCTAAAATATTAAAATGAATAGAAATCATTTTATTGTCAAAAATCATAGAATTTTTATATAGTAGGTATAATTGTGTATATTTTATATTAATTTGTAAAATATTTAATTGAGTAGAAACTGTTTTATTGTCAAAAATCTGATTTATTATAGTAAATATACATTTTGTGTTTTATACACAGGTCTAAAATATTGAGTAGAAATGGTTTAATTATCAACAATCAGAATTTTTTCTGTAGTAAATATAACTTTCTATATTTTATACTCGGCTCTAAAATATTTAATTGAGTAGAATTTGCATTATATGTATTATATGATTTTTAGTTTAACTTAATTTCAAAGAGATAAAAAATAAGAAAAATGCAATAAAGAAATCAAAACGACATTAGACAAAAGTATTTCTTACTGTGTGAATCATAATAATAAAAAAAATGTAAATTATAAATGAAGAGTTCATTTGCAAAAACCGATAACTCCATTTTTATTTAATTTTTTCAGAAATCTCGTTTTTTTTAAAATTGCGCATTCCAAGTAATATCAATCAAACTGCAGTTGGGTTGTTTTGATTAAGTAATAATAACTTAAACAAATACAGGTAATTTACAAAATTAAAAATCATTGAAAGTATGCTTTATTACATATTAAAAGTTTGTTTTATAGCAAAAGCAGATAACTCCACATTTCATGTTTTAGAGTTTAACTTTTTCATTACCTTTGATACCAATATGTGCTGGAACCCAACAAAACTGAACTTCTATTCCTAGATTTCTAATATTTAATAATATATGTCTAGTTTCAATGATTAAATCGTCTCTAACTGAAATACTGCTTTCTAAACTGTGTAAGGCTGCCATTTAGTCTGTACATATGACTGAATTAATTGGTTTATTTTCTTCTATCCATCTTTAAGGCTGTAATTATCCCAGACATCTCAAGTGTAAAAACAGAAAGATGGTTATTTAATCTATAACCCGATTTTTTGTTAAATTCTGGAATATAAATTTCTATGCCACAATGACCATTTTAGTTTTTTGACCCATCTGTAAATATTTTAAGATATCCGTAATATAATGAAGACAAATATATTTGGCCATATTTAGCAAAACTTTGATCTTTGATCTTTTAGTAATTCTGCATTGATGTCTGAAATAGGGAGCACTTAAAGCTACTGCAGGGCTAAACACAAATTATTTCAGTCCAAATTGTTCTGCTGTATTATTTATATTCCAACAAAAACCTTTGGATTTTTAATGATATTCCCAACAATCATTTAATATTGAAGCAGCTGGACTGCTATTACTGCTTATTAGTCTAACCCAATATGTTAATGAATCTTAGATTTAGTGGCACACAAACACAAGTCACGTGACCGCACGGTGTATTTTCGTATATGAATATTAATATTATACTATAAAATTACTATATTTTATTGAATAAATTTTACATTTTTAAATAATATTAATGTTTTATGGACCAATAAGTGTATATATTGAATAGGGTAATTTTTTCGATGTGTTATATAAATACATTTTATATTTGATCATTAAATTCATAGAATAAACATTACATACAGTTACTAAATTCCAAATTTGATTATTGATATTATAGAATAAAATGTAGAAATATGATGTATTTGTGTAGTTGATAATTAAAAAGGTCCATATTACATTTAATAAATGTTATGATAATGCATTCATATAACTAATATTAAAATTTTATTACCCTAAATGAATACATTGAATATTATTATATGATTGCGTCTATATTCATTTTTTGAAGTGTTATTAAATATTAACAACATAAAATATTAATATTTAATCATTAATATTATTTATATGAATGTTTTATTTATTGCTATATCTATCGATCTGCGGCGATGGACGTCGAAAGAACGCTAATGAGCCAAGCCCCACTGGCAGCCAATCAAAACACGGAGATCCAGAACGGATTCAGCAAATGCAAAGAATACAGCGACGACAAAGTGCAGCTCGCCATGCAGACGTACGAAATGGTCAGTAATCGGTTAGCTATTTTTAGAAGTGTGTGACTTTAGTCAAACCTGGAAATATCAAGGAATTTTTAATTTGTGTTTTTCTATTGGAATATGTTTCTAATCTATTTTATTGTCAAAAATCTTTTTTTTTTCTTACTTGTAGTAAAAAGAATTTTTTGTATTTTATATTCAGCTCTAAAATATTAATTGAGTAGAATTTTTTGTATCGGTTTTTTATTGTAAATATGATATTCCATATTTTATACTCTGCTCTGAAAAATGTAATTGCGTAGAAATTGTTTTATTGTCAAAAATCTTTTTTTTTCTTACTTGTAGTAAAAATAATTTTTTTGTATTTTATATTCAGCTCTAAAATATTAATTGAGTAGAATTTTTTTGTATCTGTTTTTTATTGTAAATATAATATTCCATATTTTATACTCGGCTCTGAAAAATTTAATTGCGTAGAAATTGTTTTATTGTCAAAAATCAAATTGTATTATAGTAAATCTAAGTTTCTGTATTTTATACTCGGCTCTAAAAAACTGTTTTATTGTCAAACATCATAGAATTTTTATTTGTAGTAAATATAATTTTATATATGTTATACTCAGCTCTGAAATATTTAATTGCGTAGAAATTGTTTTATTGTCAACAATCACAGAATTTTTTTTTTTTAGTAAATATAATTTTCTTTATTTTATACTTGGCTCTAAAATATTAAAATGAATAGAAATCATTTTATTGTCAAAAATCATAGAATTTTTATATAGTAGGTATAATTGTGTATATTTTATATTAATTTGTAAAATATTTAATTGAGTAGAAACTGTTTTATTGTCAAAAATCTGATTTATTATAGTAAATATACATTTTGTGTTTTATACACAGGTCTAAAATATTGAGTAGAAATGGTTTAATTATCAACAATCAGAATTTTTTCTGTAGTAAATATAACTTTCTATATTTTATACTCGGCTCTAAAATATTTAATTGAGTAGAATTTGCATTATATGTATTATATGATTTTTAGTTTAACTTAATTTCAAAGAGATAAAAAATAAGAAAAATGCAATAAAGAAATCAAAACGACATTAGACAAAAGTATTTCTTACTGTGTGAATCATAATAATAAAAAAAATGTAAATTATAAATGAAGAGTTCATTTGCAAAAACCGATAACTCCATTTTTATTTAATTTTTTCAGAAATCTCGTTTTTTTTAAAATTGCGCATTCCAAGTAATATCAATCAAACTTCAGTTGGGTTGTTTTGATTAAGTAATAATAACTTAAACAAATACAGGTAATTTACAAAATTAAAAATCATTGAAAGTATGCTTTATTACATATTAAAAGTTTGTTTTATAGCAAAAGCAGATAACTCCACATTTCATGTTTTAGAGTTTAACAAAACATTCGTTTAAACTTTGTAATCTCCTCAGATGATAATGTAGATGCCTGACAAACGTTGTTGTGATCATAAACTGTATGGATATGATTATTACACGCAATACACAGAGCTTTTCCCTCATCATTGTAACACGCTGCTTTTGCAAGCTTCCGTGAAAACCTTTCAGCTTTTATTTTCCTTTTTCGCTCCCTGAAGAAGATATCACAGGTTCATCAAGTTCGTCGAAATTATCCATCCTCGATCACTTTTAGTCAGCTTTGACGAAACTCCTCTCAGCTAGCATGTCTTTTAACATTAGATGCACTTTTTCACTGCAGGAAGCGTTATTTTGGATTATGGACTCAATGTATTTTAGGAGTGGTGTGGATTATTGTGACGTTTTTATCAGACTCTCATTCTGACGGCACCCATTCACTGCAGAGCATCCATTGCTGAGACACTGATGCAATGCTACATTTCTCCAAACCTGATGAAGAAACAAACTCATCCTAATCTCGGATGGCCTTTTCATTTCTGGGTAAACTGTTCCTTTAAAGGAGAGTTCACTCAAAAATGCAGGTTTGAAGTGACATTTACGTTGTTTTCTTTATTTCCGCAGCCCTGAGTTCTCTGAATCCATCCTTCCAGTTCATCCGTCAGACGTCTTAGACATGCCTGTTGACCCTAATGAGCCCACATACTGTCTGTGCCACCAAGTGTCATACGGAGAAATGATCGGATGCGACAACCCAGATGTGAGAAACGAACGCCGTAAACCGTTGATTAGCCTTTCCTCATAGTATTTATTTAACCAAAATGCCTTTCTTAACAGTGTCCCGTTGAGTGGTTTCACTTCGCCTGCGTTGATCTGACAACGAAACCCAAAGGGAAATGGTACGTCGGTCTGTTCACCATATCTCTGTTTCCAACATCAAAAAAACAACGTCTCTTTTCCTCCTTCCAGGTTCTGTCCACGATGCACCCAGGATCGGAAGAAAAAATGAGACGCACATTTGTATCGTTGAGAGATTACATTTCTATATGAATATATATACGTATGCACATATATGTATTTTGTCTAGGTGGTGAAATAGGATATAATATATACTCCTTAATATGGCCATGATGAAATATACGAGGGTCGCGAGGAAACAAAGTTTTTATTTTTCAAAGTACTTGAAATGTTTCCATTTAAGTTTCATTCTGTGTTGTCAAATTGTCATTTTCAGACAATCTAGGATATATTATATATGATATATATTTTCTCTTTACTTACTGATTAGTATGTATTTTCATTTTTTTATGAAGCTTCAAGCAACTATCATGTCATTGTGCTTTGCTCATGAAATGTTTCGCGAACTTTTAAGACGCTGAATTCGGCAGCCGCTCTTGCACTTAAAGGATAACGCGACTACTTTTTTCTGCAACTATCGATTTGCTTTGAAACTCAACTTGTTGTTTGAGCAAAGCTAAACTTTGAAGTGCAAGTGATACGTTTTATTGTTTCTAATTATATAATTTCAGACGATAACCTAAAATCGCATGCGGAATATTTTGCAGAACTCGAGGCGATTAGCTACTGTGGAAGCTTGTTTCCACCTCAGAATTAAAAACTAAAAAAGGTAATCTAACAATTCGGATTTTTCTCGCAATTCTGACATTTTTCTTTCTAAACTTTTTTTTTTTTTTTTACTATTTCAAGTTTAGATCTCGCAGTTCTCAAAATGTCGCAATTATGCCTTTTTTCTCAGTATGGCGAGAAACGAAGTCTGAATTGTGTGAAAAAAAACGCAATTACTTTATTCCGTTGCAGAAAAAAAAAACAGAATTGACGTTTTTCTCGGAACAGAAACAGAATTGACTTTACATCTCTCAATTCTTTAGTTTATATCTCGTAATTGTGTTTTTTGTTTCTGTCACGGAATAAAAAATACAAAAGTATTTGCGGCTTTTTATATCTCACAATTTTGAGATTCTTTGTCGCAATTGCGAGTTTTATATATCACAATTCTTACTTTTCTTCTCAGAATTGTACGTTTATATCTAGCAATTCTTTAGTTTATATAATATATATTTTGTTTATAAAAAGCCACAATTACTTTATTCTGTGGCAAAAACAAAACAAACCTTGCAATTCTGAGTTTATATCTCATAATTGTCTTTTTTGTTTCTGCTACGGTATAAAAAGTAAAAAAGATAATTGCGACTTTTTATCTCATAATTCTGAGTTTTTGTCTCGCAATTCTGACTCTTTCGCAATTGCTAGTTTATATTCTTTAATTTATATCTTGGAATTCTGACTTTTTTTCTTGCAATTGCAAGTTTATATCTTACAATTCTTTAGTTTATATCTTAGATTATATAATTAGTTTATAAAATAGCTACAATTACCTTTTTTTTTTTTTTTTTTTCTGTGGCACAAAAAAAAATTGCGAGATAAAATTTAGTTTATATCTTCTGACTGTGCTTTTTTTACTTCTGCCACAGGATAAATAAAAAGTGTAATTGCGATTTTCTGTTTCGTAATTCTGAGTTAATATCTCGCAATTTCGTTTTTTTTCTCACAATTGCGAGTTTATATGTCAATTCAGACTACTAATAAAAATTTTTCTCAAAATTGCGAGATATAAACTCACAATTGCAAGGAACAAAATCTGAATTGAGAGAAAAAGTTGCAATTACCTTTTTTTTATTTTGTGGCACAAAAAACGAATTGCGTAATTGCGACTTTCTGTCTCGTAATTCTGAGTTAATATCTCGCAATTTCGTTTTTTCTCACAATTGCGAGTTTATATGAAAATTCAGACTTTTTTGTTTATATCTCGCTATTCTTTAGTTTCTATCTCACAAATTTTAACCCTTTTGCGAGGAACAAAGTCTGAATTGTGAGAGGAAGAATTCGCAGTTACCATTTTTATGTTTTTATCGCGGATTGCATAAACCGCCGCGTTTCAAACTCCATCCCGAAGAAAGCGTCTTGCTCCAGTTCTGAATGTTTTAAGCACATGGTTTCGGCAGTATCTGCTGTCTTTTTACGGCACTTTTTACGGCACTTATGGCCAGAACGCTTTCAGATTCAATGCCGTTTTTATGGCTCTAAACGTCGAAAGGCAAACCAACTGTCAGAGGATCAACCAAAGCGAGATGAAGCGGTGTTAACGCTGCTCTTGTGTTATTTTATCATTCTATATGTGATCCAAATATAAAACATGAAATATTCCTTCTATCATATTGACGTGAGACTACCTTGTTGAACACACGTACCTGTACTTTGTATCGTGTCATCAGTAGTGGGTAGAATCCACAAAGTGTGACAATCAAGTAGCGTTTTATTTTTTCATGTTTAACTATCCCTGAAAAATATGGACTCGATGTTCCGTACAGCTTTTCGTAAAAACAAATAAATATTTACCATTAAAACTCATCTGTCGTTTGAAATGCATGTTAAGTATTGTGTGATATAAAGCAGTGTCATTTTAGTATCATTACTATATTAGCTCAGTATTTGTTCATATTTAAAATTTAATTTGTAATCATTTGTAAGTCGCTTTGGATAAAAGCGTCTGCTAAATGACTAAATGTAAATTTTTTGTTTTATGTTTTCTCCATTTTAATTTTAAAGTTGTAATATTTTTTTATATATATTTACTATCTTATTATTTGTTAATATTTTTGATTTTTTTTTTTTTTCGTTTTAGCTTTAAAGTTTTTGTCATTTTTACTTGTTTTTTTTAAATGTCTACTCTCTTAGTATTTATTAATATTTTGTATTAAATTTACATTTTTATATTTTTCATTTTATTTTAGCTGTAAAGTTTTAATAAGTAGTTTTTTAAATGCATGTCTTCTAATCTTTGTGTTTTTTTAATATTTGATGTTTTTTTACTTTGTTTCCATTTTAATTTTAGTTTTAAAGTTTTAGTAATTTCTATTTGTTTTGTTAAATATGTCTTAGTTTTTATAAATTTTTATTGCACTTTTAGTCATTTTAGTATTTTAACCATATATATAATTGCTGCAGTTAAATTACTTTTAATTTTTACTACTCACACACACACTCTCTCTCTCTCACACACTCACTCACTCACTCACTCACTCACACACACACACACACACACACTCTCTCTCTCTCTCTCTCTCTCTCACACTCACACACACACACACACACACACTCGATAATGATAATTAAGCATAAAATGGCTATATTGATGCTAAAAACTCACTTTAATATTTTTAATGCAAAATATAATTTATTATATTTAGATTGTTTTATTTACATTATTTTAATACGTTATTTTAATTTTTAAAAACATTTCCCACATTGTTGTTCCTGATTTTCACTGCTTTTTTTTTTAAACAATGAAATTAGTTTTGCATTGATTCTGTAGTACTAAATAAACAGTTATGTGGCTATTTGGCATGTCCTTTAGCATTAGTCGAGTCAAGTTGAGCTTTATTGTCATTCCGCTACATGTGTGGACATACAGTGGAACAAAATGTCGTGTCTCGCAGGACCACTGTGCTACATAAACCTAAATATAAACATACAACACTAGACGTAAGAACAATTTTTAGACCTACATAGCTAACTATCTGAAGCGGTAATCTAACTATACATATACTATAAATAGTTGACTATACATACACATAACCTAAGACAGACTATACAAGTACTTTACATAACTGTGCATGATATTGTGCAAAATAGGTATTTAAGGTTAAGAAGCAAGTAGTGAAATGTGATTTGTGGTGCATTCACAAGTAAACATTTGTTATCTTAAGTTCTTGTAACATGGAGTGTTTATAAGAAAGTATCTGGTGCATATAGAGAGAAAAGAGTGTGTTTTTCTACAGGTGCTTTGTCCAGCACACTCAGAATTGCACAATGTTCTTGAGGTTTTCAACTGTTTTCATGTGGTGCATGTGGTGGGATGGGGTGGAGAGGAAAATTGCATTTTCCATGCATTATTTTTCAATCTAATTTTAATCATTCTATATGTACTTCTGAAAATGTAATTGTCGCACTGCAGGAGTTATGCGAACTGAAAAAAATAAAAAAAATGCACCTAATTTACAGCTAAATGCATTAAGGTTTGGTTGCAAAAAGTTGGTTTTGAAAAGAAGTTATTGTAAATGTCCCGTTTGCAGTGCTCTGAGGCAGCCCACGATGGTTTGGTTTTGACTGCACTGTGTTTGGTGTGTTACTGCACACGTCGAGATGCATCGCCTCGCTTCACACCCGGCTGTCAGTGTCGGCGCAGACGCTCGAGGTGACTCTCGGTTGTGCTGAGTTATGATGATGAAGTGCTGTGTGTGTCGTGTGACAGGCGGCCGAAGGAAAGACCGAGATAAAGAGCGGCCGGAGATCTCGCCGCCGTCAGACTTCGAGCACACCATTCACGTGGGGTTTGACGCCGTTACCGGAGAGTTCACGGTAAGACTGACTGTACATCAACTTTACTAGTCATCATTTCAAATAACTTCTAATATTATTTCATTATATTACTTCCTAATTATATATATATATATATATACTTACTGTTCTGCATTATTTACACAATTAATGTCTGTTACAAACTGGATAATTTTGTGAACAACTGCAAAGTAAACTTAAGAGTTACTTGTATTCAATGTACAGAGCAAATAAAGTGTAATGATATTAATAAAAACAGTATTCTTCCGCCAAACAATGTAGTTCCTCAGAATCAGTTGTGGTTCCAACAAAGTGGTTGCCGAGCAACACACAAACGTAAACAAAGGTGTATGTTACTTTGTAGAGTCATTTACAACAGCTTCGAACTCAGCTCAGCCAATCAGAATCAAGGACCGGAACTCTCCGTTTTATAAGACGAAACGAAACACACATCTGGTAATATTGACTTAAAATATCGGCCAAATGGCGATTGTTTACAACCGTTACCAGATGTCAGAATTGGTGTATATAATGCACAATGGAGTATAATGTAATGGTGTATAATGGTGTATATAATGCATTTATATAATATAATATAATATAATGGCTCTGAGCGGATCTCCTCAGTTTGTGTTTCTCTGTGCTGTTTCTCAGGGAATGCCGGAGCAGTGGGCGCGGTTACTGCAGACCTCGAACATCACCAAATCAGAGCAGAAGAAGAACCCGCAGGCCGTCCTCGACGTGCTCAAGTTCTACGACTCCACGGGAAACGGCCGGCAGAAGTACCTCAGCTTCTCCTCAGGTCTGCTGGACGACTCGCGCGCTTTCATGCTGACGTTACCAGAATCATGTCGTACTGACCGCTTTTCTCCATTTGTTTGTATGTATAGAGAAGGACGGGTTTCCCTCTGGTGAGCAATCGGTATGTGTGAATCAGTGCTGTTTTACTGTTATGGAGGTACTGTTACAGTTGTTGTTTTAAAAATGAGTTTTTATTTTTGTATTTTCCAATTTCAATTCAAAGTTTTAGTAACTTTATTGTGCATTTTTTTACATTTTATTTAGTTATATGTGTCCCTGCAGCACAAAAGCAGTCTTAAGTCGCTGGGGTATATTTGTAGCAATAGCCAACAATACATTGTATGGGTCAAAATTATAGAATTTTCTTTAATGCCAAAAATCATTAGGATATTAAGTAAAGATCCTCTAGGGTCACATTTTTGGTTATTTA